AGTCTGCAATTGTGCATAATGGCATCTTCTGGGTCACATCTTCATGACAGTGTCTCTCACACCGCTAGTCCCCAGTATGTTACGTCTGGGACTGGTTCCTGGGGGTCAGTGTCTCTGGTTCCTTTAAAGAGCAGTACTGGAGGGCGCCTGGGTGGCTCAGTTGGTTGGGCGACTGCCTTCGGCTCAGGTCATGATCCTGGAGTCCCGGGATCGAGTCCTGCATCAGGCTCCCTGCTCGGCGGGGAGCCTGCTTCTCCCTCTGACCCTCCCCCCTCTCATGTGCTCTCTCTCTCTCATTCTCTCTCAAATAAATAAATAAAATCTAAAAAAAAAAAAAAAAGAGCAGTACTGGAAACAGCAATAGGGAGAGTCGCTTTGTGGTTCTGTGCAGTCGTCTAGGTGAGCTGGGGGCTGGGTGAGTGGTGGTGAGAAATCCCCAAGTCTGCACTATTAAACTGATCACTCTTCACTGGTAGAAGAAAAGCCAGTCTGGAGTTCCAGAATGCTGTATTAACTCTGCTACTTGCTTAGAGTTGAATAAAAATAAAAACGTTCTGTGGAACCAAAAAAAGAAAGAAAGAAAACGAAAGGCTTAAGTAAAAATCTAACAAAATGTGGATAGGTTCTGTGTGCTGAAAATTACGAACCGTTGATAAAGGAGATTAAAGACAACGTAAAGAAGTGGAAAGACATGCTTTATGTTTATGGACTGCAAGATTCGACATAGACAAGATTGCAGTTCTCCCAAAACTGACATACAGGCATGACGCAATTTCCATCAAAATCCCAGCATGAATGTTTATAGATACTGATAAGCTTATTATAAAATGTATATGGAAAAGTAAAGGGCCTGTCTAGACAATTTGGGGGAAGAAGAATTCAATGGGAAGAATCGCTTTACCCAATGCTGAGGCTCACTACGTGGCCACAGTAACAGCGCTAGTGAGCTTTGGCAGAACAGATCAACAGGCCAGAGCGAAGAACCCAGAACACACCTGGCAAATGTGCCCAACTGGTCACTCACAGAGGCAAAAAGCAGGTCCACAGAGTAAACATCATCTCTCCCACAAAGCGCAAGAGCAACTGGACCCCCCCCCCAAAAAAATAAACCTCAACTGAAATTCATACCTTATACAAAACCTAACTCAAAATGGATCAAGAATTTAAATATAACATATAAAAATATTAGAAAAAAGAAAATCTTGGGGACCCAGGGTTATGAGGAAAGTTCTTACAGCACTAAACGCACAATCATGGAAGAAAAAAGTCAACAAACTGGACCTCAGCAGACTGAACACACGTGCTCTGCGAAAGACCGCATGAAGAAGATGAAGCGACACGCTCCAGCCTGGCAGGAACTCTTTGCAAACCACGTGTCCAGTAAAGGACTTCTATCTAGCATACATCAAGAACTCTCTCAACTCAACAGGAAAAAAAATAATCCCATTAGAAAGTGGGCAAAAGACATGAGCAGATCTTTCACAGGAGAGGATACACAGACAACAAATGAGCACGTTAAGAGATCTCAACATGACTGGCCAGGAGAGAAATGCAAAGTCAGGCCACCTCACGTCTGCTAGAACGGCTGAAATAAAACCAGTGATAACACCAGATGCCAGGTAGGATGTAGAAGAAATGAATCACTCATAGATTGCTGGAAGGAATGTAAAATGGGGCAGCCACTCCGCAAAACAACTTGGCAATTTCTTACAAAACCAAACATGCAGGGGCACCTGGGGCTCAGTCGGTTGGGCCGCTGACTCTTAGTTTTGACTCAGTTCATGATGTCAGGGTCGTGGGATCTAGCCCCCTGTCGGGCTCCTCACTCAGCAGGGAGTCTGCTGGAGATTCTCTCTCTCTCCCTCTGCCCCTCCCCCCACTCATCACCCCTCCCCTTTCTAAAATAAATCAACCTTAAAAAAAAAAAAACTGAACATGCATTAGCATGCAACCCAGAGACTGCACTCTTGGGCATTTACCCAAAGAAATGAAAACATACAATCACACAAAAACCTATGCACAGATGTTCACTGTACCTCTATTCATAATAGTGAAAAACTGGAAACAGCCCAAATGTCCTTCGATGGGAGGTGAGTTAAATAACTGTGATACTTCCATACTATGGAATACTATACAGCAATAAAAAGGAACAGACTACTGATTCAAGCAAGAATTTGGATGAATCTGAGTGAAAAAAGTCACTTTCATGACATTCTTGAAATAAAATTATAGAGATCAACGTGTGGCAACTATGTGTCAGTGGATGCCAGGAGGAAAGCGCAGGGAACAGGGCAGGTGTGGCTGTGGCACGGAGTACGAAAGGATCTCTGTGCTGATGGGAGAGTTTGGTATGTTGAATATAGTGGTAGTTACATGAATCTATACGTGTGATAAAACTGCACAGCACTGGGGTGCCAGGGGGATCAGTCGGTTCACTGTCCAACTCGTGAAGTTCAGGTCCTGATCTCTGGGTCATGGGATCGGCCCCGAGTCAGGCTCCACGCTCAGCAGGGAGTCTGCTCGTCCCTCTCCCTCTGCTCCTCCCCTGGCATGCTCTCTCTCTCAAATAAATAAAATCTTTTTTAAAAAACCGCACAGAACTAGTCACACACACACACACACACACACACGAGTGCATGCGGCACCGCTGACCTACAAACAAACACACCCCGTGGGTTGTCCGGGCGCTGGTCCCCGGGCTCTCGCCGTGCACTGCAGTGAGGCCAGACGCTACCCCAGGGCAAACCGGATACAGGCACAGGGGACGTCCCTGGATTTTTCTGTACCTTCCTGTGCATCCACAATTCTTTCTAAAAACTTTTAACCAAAAGCAAAATGGACTGCGGTGAAAGTGGTATAACTGCATATAGTTACTAAAAATGACCAAACTTTACTTTTACAACAGATTACTGTCATGCAAAATATATCTCAATAGAGCTGCTTTTAAAAAAGAAACAATAATTGAGTCCTGACATGTTTACGTATTTAAAGTGAATACTCATACCTGACAGAGTATCAAGCACCAGACTTTCAGGATTCCTTCAAAACCCTCTGTAGTTCATCTCTGATTTTAACTGAAATATACTATCAGCTCATTTTTCTTTAAAAAGTTTCCTGAAATGGGCGCCTGGGTGGCTCAGTTGGTTAAGCGACTGCCTTCGGCTCAGGTCATGATCCTGGAGTCCCAGGATCGAGTCCCGCGTCGGGCTCCCTGCTCAGCAGGGAGTCTTCTTCTCCCTCTCCCGCTCCCCCCTCTTGTGCTTTCTCTCTCTCTCTCACTCTCTCTCTCAAATAAATAAATAAAATCTTTAAAAAAAAAAAAAGTTTCCTGAAATAATATATATACAATGGTTGCAACAACTTCCCTTTTATTATTACAACACATCCTAACTTTCCTAATGCTTTCCTAACACATCAAATACACAGAGAAGCAGACATGGGCAGTCCCCTGCAAGTGAGTTAGCTAACCGTGAATGGTGCAGAGTTAACTCTGAAAACACATGGAGAAGACAAAGGCCGAGGTCAGCAGCTGAAGCCCTGTCAGAGGGCACAGCTGAACTTGCACAGAAAACAACATATACCAGCTGCTGTTACTAGTACTGCTCTTGCTTTACTATTATTTTTTTAAAGATTTTGTTTATTTATTTGACAGAGAGAGACACAGCAAGAGAGAGAGCACAAGCAGGGGGAGTGGGAGAGGGAGAAGCAGGCTTCCCGCCGAGCAGGGAGCCCGATGCGGGGCTCGATCCCAGGACCCTGGGATCATGACCTGAGCCGAAGGCAGTCGCTTAATGACTGAGCCACCCAGGCGCCCCTTGCTTTACTATTTAAGAATAAAAACACACACGCTCCGAATTTCATCACAAGTGGCAGGATAGTTTAGTTTTACAGAAGAGAAGAGGAAATAATGTATTCCATACAAAAAGCAAGAATGTATAATTTTAAAGAAATACTATTAGTCTCAGCAAATAATAGAACATATTGGTTATTTCTAAAATATCAATAAATGATCCCCTAGGTTAATTACAAATATTTGTAGTTAATACGTCTCTGATTATAAATTATTATGTGCACTTTTTTCAAGATTCTTATACTGTGACTTCTAATGTTCTGAAGTGTTTGTTTTAAGATTTTATTTATTTATTTGATAGAGAGAGAGTGAGGGAGAGCATGAGCAGGGTGAGGGGCAGAGGGAGAAACAGGCTCTCCGCTGAGCAGGGAGCCTGATGCAGGGCTCCATCCCAGGACTCATGACTTGAGCTGAAGGCAGACGCTTAACTGACTGAGCCACCCAGGCGCCCCTGAAGTGGTCTTTTAAACATAGAAATTAGGGGTGCCTGGGTAGTTCAGTTGGTTGAGTGTCTGACTCTTAATTTCAGCTCAGGTCATGATCCTGGGGGCCCTGAGACAGAGCCCCACATCTGGCTCCATGCTCAGTGGGGAGTTTGCTTCTCTCTCTCCCTCTGTACCCCCACCCCCGAGCTCGAGTGCCCACACACGCGCTTTCTCAAATAAATAAATCTTTTTAAAAAGTAAGAAGTAATAAAAGTAAAATTAATAGGAAGTGACAATCACAAGGCACCCAGTAAATATTTTCCACATTAAACGGTCATAAAATCGCAATGTTCGACTATTTTCCAACCCATTCAGAATTACGTACATTTTGTTATTTTTTAAGATTTATTTATTTATTTTAGAGAGTGTGTACACATATGCAAGAGCACAGGGAGCGGGGAGGGGCAGAGGAGAGAGAGACTCTCAAGCAGACTCCCCACTGAGCACTGAGCCCAATGCGGGCCTCGATCCCATGACCCTGAGATCATGACCACAATCAAGAGTCCGACACTTAACTGACTGAGCCACCTAGGAGCCCCCAGAATTCCATACATTTTAAAATACACTCTCTTGAGACTTAAGGGCTAGAACGGCCGCCAGCCACACCATTCTGCAGGCTCAGCCATGACACTGATGTGTTAGGCGGCGGCCTGTGAGCATCGTACCTTCTTCTCTCTCCTGCTGTCAGCCTGCACGGTCTCCAGGCGGGCTTTGAAGTGCTCACAATCCATTCTCAGTTGCTCTAATTCTTGCTCTTTCCTTTCCAGGTCTAGAAGGAGAGAGAGACAATAACTCAGTATTTCAAGTCATGAATCTCCTCTAAGAACCCAATGTGCCTAACCTCTTGGGAAAACAGGCACTGGCTGCTCAGGTGGGATTAGTCACAGAACCAGTCCTTCAGTGGCCAACATTCTGAAGGTTTTGCTTTTCAGGTTCCTATCAGTTTTTAGCCCATACCAGAAAGTACTTTTGTTGTTGTTGTTTTCAGTCTTACATTGTTAAGACCTCACTTTACTGCCAGACTTGTACTCAAGGCTTTAAGGAAGTGGGTTATGTAAGAGATTGAAGGCAGGACTGAGAAGCCCGACTGTCTCGTGGCACAGACTTGTATCTGCTCCATCAAAAGCGGGAGGGAGCTCAGCGAGGAGACGGCACCAGCCGGGGCTGATTCACAGCACTCGTCTCACCAACTGGCAGACTGACTCAGGAGGAAGAACTGCAGTGGCAGTCAGTGGAGGGCTGGCAGCAACGGAGATCAGACAGGAAAAGGCCCAGTGATAGCAGGGAACTGTGGCTTTCTTCCTCTCCACCAGATTCATTTAGATGGTGATTCAAATCGCCAACAAAAATCCCCAAGACATCCACATTAATGTCTGAAATCAAAAGTTTTATCAACTTTAAATAAAAGATATTATGATGCAGAAATACTGACATTTAAAAAGCAAAGAAATACAGAACTTAAAATTTTAAGCGTCTTGACCTCAGGCACTAAGAAATCATCCATTTTTATGCTACCGTATATACTGAGATTCGAGGTGGAATACAGTACTCAGAGTTAATGGCGTTACCTTCTCTGATGAAAGTAGCAATGCTTGTGGACAGTGATTCCCAAATGTCAGTGTCCACCAGAATCCCCTACAGGGCTTGTTCAAACACAGGCTGCTGCCCCCTCCCCCCCCCCCCCACCTTTGTCAGAGTTTCTGATTCAGCAGGCCTGAGGTGGGCCGGAGAACCTGCACTTCCAGCAAGTTCCCAGGTGAGGCAGATACCGCTGGTCTGGGAACAGACTTTGCGAAAGCACTTCAGGACAACAGCCTGGTCTCTGGTCATTAACAAAATGAAATCAACACACAACCAGCTATCGCCAATGAGGGAGCCCAGCCTCAGGAACATGGGGGCGGAAAAACCAGAAGGCAGTGGGAGGCAACAGCCTGAAAACTGGCACCTCCCTCCACCTGAGAGGGGAGATGGCTGACAGCGCTCCGTCCAGTGAGGTGCAGACAAGAGGAGGGGTGCGGCTTCATGGCCAGGCTCTGAGAAGGCGGGGGGACTGCCAAGAACAGCAGGGGCATCCCCAAAGCTCTGGAGAAATGAAGGCAGCCTGCATTTTCCAGGGAACCTTTGCCCTAGAGGGAAGATGAGCACCTAACGCTAAGTATTCAGTCACAGATTATGAAACCAGCTGGCAGAACTTCTCTTAAAATGCGTTTCTCAGAAACCACGTGAAGTAAAGTGGGACTATCTCTTCTGCCTCGAATCTTCCCTTCTACAATCACACCACGGACTCTCCCCGGAATTCTACTCTGCCCTCCAAATCCTGGCTGCCCAAGAAATCAACTATCAGTCAAGAGCTATGCTTTAAAAGCTACACAGCTGCCCTGTGTCACAATGTTAAACGAAAACTTACGTAGTTATAATTATGAATGAACAATGACGTGCATACGGTCACAAAAAAAACAAAATGAAAAAAGGAACTAAAATAAAATTACTAGTGCTGCAAACTTTTTCTTTGCAGTTCACTTTTCAATTTTCGTGTATCATTAAGCTGTATGTCACTCAAACGTGGCAAAGAAAATATAAAATTCCATCCCTATAAGCCTTACTGTGTATAAAAATATGAGGGAATAAATACTGGCCACCCAAAAGATTTTCATTAGGGCAACTTCATAACCGCTCTGTGTAGCCGTACATGAGCTTCCATAGGCTACTATAATGAGGGGACAGCGTCAGACATCCCACTCTCCCCCAGGTACCCCAAAGAATTCAAAGTCAGCATCCTGGATGCCACACCTGCCCACCGCAAGCACCCGGAGGCAGCAGGTGCCTTTCCGCTGCACGAGGCCGCCGCCTTGTGGCCAGCTGGGAGCACTGCCGCCACCTTCCCACAAAACCGGCAAACCCTAGCTTTCTCAGCCTGGCCCCCAGTTGTGCCTGCCACCCTGAACAAACCCCACAAGGCAGGCATTTTCAGGGTTCATTTTCTGATACACCCCAAATCCCTACAGTGGTACGTGGAATTTTACAAATATTTGTCACACAAATGAATTTCACTTCTCTACCCGTTCCTTCTGCTAATCCTTGAGTAGAGAAAAATACACAGCCACTTTGGTTATATGTCTCATAATGAGAATATACTGCTTCTGTGATTTTTTTTTTAAACCAGGGACAGAAAATATGGACAGTGAATGACACATCATACAAAGTCAAGACATTGACTTACCCAGCCTCCATATCAGAAAAGGAAAGGAGCTGCCACCCAGCCTAAACTGTCTTCTAACTGCTCATCTAAATCTCCATTTAACTGTTAACTGAATGAAAGGGTGGCCAAGACAGACTCCCAATATATAGAAACAATCTGCATCACAGGCCACTTCCATATCAATATGGCTTCTGAAATTCACAATCCTTTTTCGAAAGTTTCAATAACAGGAGAATGGCTGTATCTCTTAATGCTTAACTTATTCATCGGAAGGGTACAGAGAACTATTAACTGACAGGAGACAGAGCTACAAAGGAAAAGCAGCATTTCAAAAACACTGAGCAAAGAAATGTAAACCATACGAAAGGGATCGATTTCTCCTACCCTTTCTTTACCACCTGGCATGCTTATAGTAAGCATAATAAACTATCAGTTGTTTTGTGTTAATATGAAAGGATTGTTTTTGACCAAAACAGCTTAAAGTCTCAAACCCAAAATGAAGGGTTTTTAACAGCTCTTAACTTCTCCCTTCATATGACTAATAGGTTTAGAAAAGAATTTACAATTAGCTGCTAACAGACCCCATCTTTAATGTGAATTGAGATTTGGAGGGTACGTAACAAAGCACCACAAAGTGGACAGCTTATGACAACAGAAACATCTCCCCTAGTTCTGGGGGCTACAGGCCTGAGACCAGAGTGTCAGCAGGCTCGGGCTCTCTCTGAAACCTGTGGGCGAGGATCCTTCCCTGGCTCCTCCACCTTTCAGTAGCCTCGATCTTCCAGAATTCCCAACTGCCTCCGCTGTCACTGGGCCTCCTCCCAGTCTCTTCACATCAGCTTCCCTGTGCATGTCTGTCTCTGTGTCCAAATGTACCCTTTTATAAGGACACCAGTCATTCTGGATCAGGGCCCACCCTTAAGACCTCATTTTCACTTAATCAGCCTGTCAACAATTTAAGCTCAAAAAGTGAAAAAATGAAAAAAAAATGAAAAAATGACACTATTTCAGGATTCATTAAAAAGGGGGGGGGGCTTCAGTTAAAGAGCTTAAGTGCATTTCAAATCCTTCTACCCACTATAAGCCAGCCAAACAACACTTTGTCAATCTTTTTAAAACAAATCAAACGGGGTGGGTGGGGAGAAAGAGTTGGAACCAGAACATGGAAATAGCATTTTTTTCCTGCACTGCTAAAAATCTGCTCCCCAAACCACTCTTCATCTTCTAACTTAAAGGCCATTTGAGTTATCTTTTATAAGATGAAGAAAATGTGTGACTAACAGGAATTTGTTCTATATTGGCATTGCCAATGGACTTGGCAGCACCTTATATCACTAACTTCAACATCTGAGGGTTGGAGCTCCCTAGTATACCTGTAAATTACCAAGGAAAAGGGTCAGATTTTGTCCTTTGCATATCCCTACATTACCTAGCAGTGCTTGACAGATGCCAGGCACAGAGTGAACACCTCCCTGATGGACTTACCAACTACAACCACTGAACACTTGAAAATAAATACCATCACAAAAAACTAAGATCAATCTTGCTGAAGTCAATCAAATGAGTTCTGCTAACGTACTTTTCAAACCAGAGAGTCAGGAAATGTTTTCATTTACTGGCATACAAATACAAAGTTAACGACTGGGTGTCAGGAGTGATATATTCAAATAACGTATGTCTCTACTTTCTCCATCTTGGCTACCTTCCCACCTCCTCTGTCCATAAGCCCCTGTAAGTCTTCTCTCCCAGTCCGCTGTGTGCTGGACCATCTCCACATGCCCTTTAGATCCATTCTCCACCATGCTCTGTGCTCCCAAGAGGCTAAAGTCATCATCCAAAGCACCCGGGCTTCCTGGCTTTTTGCTTCCTGTTAGATTTGGACAGTGACAGGCTCCACAGGGACTGGGGACGAGAGGAGACCTGGGACATTTCCTTCTCCACTGTGTCATCCCCGCCAATCTTCCTTCCCAATACAACAACCAGTCCAGGGTCAGGTATGGCCTTTGGTTGTATCTTTAGCCTCCTTTAATTTGGAACATCTCCACAGTCTATCTTTACTGTATGACATTACAATGTGTTTTTAACAATTTAAAAATCACAACCACCTATACGGAAGGACTTCCATTTCCAGCTATGACAGATCAATCATCAGATCAATCTTCCCACTGAGAATAATTAGAAAAGCAGAATTTAAACAAACTAACTCCTCTGAAGGTATGTGAGAGTTACTGACTCACAGGGGCCCTCAGGCCAGGACCTAGAGAGGGGGAAAGTGCACCAAGGTGCAGGAGCCCAGCCTCCCACCCCACTCCTCCCAGGGACCATGACATACTCCAAAGCAGCACAGGCAAAGAGGCAGCAAAGCTGGGCAGAGTGGTCAGCGGTGGCACGGGGCTGAGAAATGAAAATACACGACAGAGCTGTCGGACAGCCAAGACTTAGGGTGGGCCATGATCCCGGAGGACAAGGAAGCACAGAAAAATGAGCTGCCGGCAGAGCCGTCTCCCTCTCCCAGGTGCTCAGCAATGCGTAAGCAGCACACAGAGGCTGCAGAGGTGGGCAGAGAGTGG